AGAACAGAGGGGTGGTTCCCTATTTAAATCATGAGCAGTATTGCAGTTATTTGATAATTAATTTAAAAGCTCATTTAATTGTTACTGGGTACTTTTTCTAACGTGCTGTTTTTATGATGTTAGTATAGATGCTAATTCATCAAGGATTACCAACATATTCTCATTGTTGGCCATAAGCAAATTTCCTAGGTAAAAAAAATATATATATATATATTTGCTTACTATTTTTAACATTTCATTATTATTTTTATGTGTATCTATTTTTAAATTATAATTTGATATAATACAAGAAATCAGAGAATCCCCAGACTTCAAAATAGTCTGCTTTCTAAAGGCATTGCTGTTGCTTTATTCATTGAAATTCATGACCATCCCTCTAGGGAAACACTGTTAAAGTCTTTCATAAACTAGTGTATACAGCATATTAATCCTAAATTACTGGATTTAACATCTGGCAGCCAAGGTATTACTTTTTGTACAATAAGAGAAGGAAAAAGAAAATTGGTTTTTTATTTAGTGGAACAGAGCAGAGTTTGGAAACATCTCTAAATAGACTTTTTCCCCAAAGTCCTTCCTGCCCCCAATCTCCATGGTCTCAGAGACACCAAGTGGCCCCAAGAGAACTTCCCACATAATATAAGGTTTAGTAAGACTTAAATCAGAAATTGAGGATTGAATCCCAGTAATGCTACTTACCAGCTATTCTCTATAAATCTTCATTTTCTGATTATAAATTGTGGATAAAAGTGTCTGCCCAAAAGGACTGCTCTCAGGATGAAATGCAGGCAAGGACTGAGTACACAACACGGTGAAGGGAACACTTCAGATGCTGAGTCAGCACCTGCCAGAGACCCTACTAAAGGATGCATGATGTGCTGAAGTCTGCCTTTCAGATGATGATGACTCATCGTCTAAGCAGATTCCTATGTGGCATCTGGAGGGCTCATGAACTAGGAAGTTTAATATTCACAAAGCCAAACCCAGGAGGGACTGGGGCCGACAGTCTTCCTCTGCATAGAAAAGTGAAAGATCAGCTTCCCAGCTAGCCTGTTGTTCAGTTCTCACTCTTTCTGGCATCCGGAACCAGAGGTTTCCTAGAACTCTCCTTTCACTGAGAACTCCCAGAGCCCCAGCTGTTTAGATTCTGGAGAAAAAAATGAGGACTAAGCGGCTCCTGCTTGTAATGAGGTCCTTTATCAAAGCAGTTTGGTGCCTCATACTGCGATAGAAACTGGAGCAGCTGCGAGTGAATGGGGATGGAGGTGGGAATGAGGGTTGTGTGTGCGTGTGTGTGATTTACATACGACTGATTTTATCCAAAATCATAGTGTAGAAGAAACGAGTGACTGGATGTAAATGGGGAGAATGAATCAAGTGTGTGTATGTGAGATTTACATTCCTCTGATCTTACCTAAAACTTTATTTCAAATTCTTGATTGGAGCAGGGATGTGAATACATGATGAAGGAGAACTCTGCACTGGATACTCATCTTCCTTGAAAAGAGCTCCTAAGCTCCTGGGAATCCCCAAGGGTTCCAAGTCATGTTTATTTCTCCCTGAGAATGTTTTCCTCCTTGTGCTTAATCTATTTCCAAGCCTCTTATATTCTTCATAGGGATATTGAATTTTATTTACCCACATATGTTAAGAATCCCAACTTCTTTTAATCTAGTAAGCTAGAAAACTTAACCTGATATTTTTTGGGTAAAACATGTATTAACTGCCTCCAAAGTAAGCAACTGTCAGAGGGAACATGTTGAGGGCATGATATTTTTTTTTTCCTTTTTCCCCAAAGTCACCATTCACCTATAGAAGAAATGGAATTGCGTTTTTATTTAATGTAAGTAAAAACATTTTGAAAATCAAAATTTTAAGAATAAAGATATACTTGAAAGCTTTTCTAAGGAGGCAAAGTAACTCAAAATAATCAGGTATGGTGTTATCTTCTCATTATAAAAAAAAAAACAAAATTGCAAAAGTCATGAAAGCATTTGAAAATGGGAAAAAAAAGTTAATTTTGACGCCCAGAACTATTTGATTATGAAAATGGTAATTACCCTGGTAAAGCCCATTTGCGGTGCTTGTCAGTACTTGATGTGACACAGACCTTGTTCACTGAAGTATGTACTGAAAACAGTTGGTAGGAATTTTTGTAAGACTGCAGCTGCCTGAGTTGGTGAAGACAGTTGCAACAGCTGTGCAGTGGTATCTCATTGTGGGCTTTTGCATGTCTCTGATGTCACTGATGCTGATCATTTCTGACAGTGCTGATAATCCTTTCGTGTACCTGCTGGCCATCTACACATCTTCTTTGAGAAAAATGTCTATTCATATCTTCTGCCCATTTTTTAATCAAAGTGTGTTGTTTTTTGCTGTTGACTTATATGAATTCTTTACATTTTTGGATATTAAGCCCTCATCAGATAATTTGCAAATCCTTCCTCAGTTATTCAACCAAATATCTTGAAATCTTCCTTGACTTGAGTTTACTTTCAATCCCACACATTTTTTAGTTGAAAAACTTTACAACGTCCCTTCTTTCTTTCAACCATATTCCCACAGAGTTTATCAACAGTGTGGCCCGAATTATCATTTTAAGACTTAATACCAATTCTTGTTACTCTGTGCTCAGAAATCTCCAGTGGCTTTCTGTGTCACTTGGAATAAAGCTCATAAAGGGCTGGAATGCCCTGCCTTATTCCTCAGCCTCATTTCTTGACCTATTATTGTTGTCTAGTTACTGAGTTACTAAGTTACAACTTAGTTACTAAGATGTATCTGACTCTTTTGCGACCCCATGGGCTGTAGCCCACCAGGCTCCTAAGTCTATGGGATGTCCTAGGCAAGAAGAATTCTGGAGCGGGGTGCCATTCCCTTGTCTCGGGGATCTTCCCCACCCAGGGATCAAACCCACATCTCCTGTGTCTCCTGCATTGACAGGTGGATTCTTTACCACTGAGCTGCCTGGGAAGCCCCCAATATTCACTCAGCTCATTCCATCCCAGTGCTAACAGCTCCTGGCCTTTCCTCAAGCTCTCCTAGAATATCTTCATCTCGGGGTCTCTGAAATTGACTTCTGCCTAGTGTTTCTCTCACAAACATCCAGATGGTTTACTCCTTTATCTCTTGAGGTTTTGCCTTCATGACAACATGGATTTCCCATCCCACAGCCCCTCCTACACACTGCTCTTTTCCATGCTTTATTTTCTTATCACTGTGCTTATCACTACATCCAGAAATATTAATTTGTTTATGCCCTTCCACATTGTATCCTGCTCGAGACTGTAACTCCCAGGAGGACATTTTTTCTGTCTGCATTGCTTATTACTCTGTCTTTTCAACAAGGAAAAGACCAGATGCATAGTAAACCCTCAGTGAACATTCATTGAGTGAATGATTACATTTTGAGGAGAGTTATGCTTAGCGGGATTCATGGGCTCCAGAAGACCTCTGTTTCAAGGAGATGGTAAATGACTTGATGGACATTATCCATGGATGCTCAGTAGATAGATGGACCTGAAAGTGTAGAATTTACATTGGAAATGAGGAAAAGAGTGTTACTTGTGTATATAACAATGCAAATCAAAGCCTTAGGAGTAGATATGATGGCCAGAGGTGACCACTGAGCTTAGGAAAGTGAGTTGATGTTGAAATCAAAGGCTAAACTTAAGCACATCTCTGCATCCTGCCTTTTCTTCTGATTGCCTTTAATTTCTTGCCCACCCCACAGCTGAAAATAGGTGTAAAATTTTAAAGTGCCAACTACATCAAATCACTGACATATTCTTGACATGGTATGAAAATATTAATCATTCTGAAATGTCTTCATATTTAGACTTATTTTTCTGACAACCAAGCTATAATCTCCAGTTTAACAGAGATGTGGCAAATATATTTTTGAGAAAAAGTTACTTGTACTTTTGCCCAGTTGCAACATTCAACAGTATTCTCCCTTTTACCAAGAGTACAGAAAGCACACCTCATGTTGTCCAAAGCCTTCCCACCTTTTTACACCTAGTGGATTTTTACAAATTGACACTGAATGCATTCAAAACCTGTGTGTAAAATGAGCTGGCTGCAGAGAGAATGAAGGGGCTCTTTTGTGGACTGAAATGTGACCAGAGAAAATCTGCTGCATGACCAGTAACACTTCACAGTGACATGAGGCAGGTTACTAAACATAAGGCTCCTGAAATCATGATGACTGAGAAACTAAAGTCACTTTTAGGTGGAGTCATTTTAGGAATTTAAAATACTTAAACCAGAGCTCTGGTGTTTTAGTACTTAGCATCGGAAACTAAGAACTCCCAATGTCATGAAGGGAATTACTTTGACCGAATAGCTATCTCGCCTACATTGAATAGATGCATTGATTTAACAACCAAGTATGATAATTAAAACTAATTAAATTTAAAATGAGTGCACACATATTTTAGAAGTGAACTGCTTGGCTTATAGCATCGAAAACATTCATATCCCTTGCTTTCAGTATTTCATATTCATTGTCCAACAACAAATAGCAACTGATTCTAGAGAGTAGTGAAGAGTACTTGTTAATCATTCTAATCCAAATTCTTCATTTGAATTGTCTCTGAAGAGATAAAAATACTTTTAAATCTACTGCTTCTCTTTGTTTACATTTTATCAAGAGTAAAATTTTAATCTGGCCAAGTGTCTTTCTGTGCAGTGTTGATCATTTAATCTGGCCAAGTGTCTTTCTGTGCAGTGTTGATCAATGTTGAAAAGACCCTCCTCAGTGATAATCATGTTAAGTCCTTCCAGCTCCTGGAGCGTTGTATTTTGAAGTAAATCTGCATTTGAAATTAATATCTGAAACAAAAGAGCCTACAGTTTCCATACATTAGATATCTTTGATTCTAGTTAAGTTTATTGCACTTTAAAGAGAAGGTTTAGCTACTATCTAGTAGTGTGGTGATGTTTCATTTATCTCAAAGAAATTGACTTTTATTTTGTGTGACCCATTTCTCCGTCCCTTTCAGGAGCTGGAGTTTTCGAATCTCTTTGCTGTTCTCCACTGCATTCATTCCTTCTTTGCTGCCAAAGTGGCTTGTTTGGACCCTCTGTTTCTAAGCAGTCAGGCTGCCGCCTCTGCGGCTTCCAGCTCCGGAGTACCAAGCAAAGCCAAGTACATGACCTGAGCCTGAGCTCAGCCTCCCTCTTGTCTTGACTTGTAAACAGGACGACCTTACTCATCGCTGCAGACAATGGAGAAGCCATCACATCCCCAAGTTAGCAGTGAAGCCAAGTGGAAATCTGAGTGGAGGAGAAGAAGGTCAGACGGATCCCCAAAGCACTGCCGTTTGGAAGGCCTCGGGGGATCGTCCTAAATGAGCGGGATGACTTGCTCCTCTTTATTGGGTCAGGACCGCTGCGTTGCTTTCATCAAAAGTGAAGACAAACCGATGAATGACGGGAGTGTATAAATAATATAAAAATTGTAAGCTACCTATAAATAAAACACCCATTAAACAGTCACGTCTGTATTTTAGACTATTTTGTATGACAAATACATGAAGGGCCTGATCAGGAACCAGTGCCCTGCTATTGTGTGAGGAGCGACAGGAGGAGGCAGAGGCCCTGAGACCAGCGTGAAGACCCTTGTCCAAGAAGAGAGCACCCCAGCTCACTGGTGTGGATTTCTCCTTAGAGCTTCATCCCATGACTTGACATTGGCACCCCAATTTGTGTATGCTGTTGTAAATCATTGCTGAGAATTTCAAAAAGATCATTATATTTGACCTAGAATAGCCACAATGTGAAATGGAGTATTCCTTCCTGGGGTCACTGACACCAAATGTTTTATTCACAGCCAGTGTTCCTTCAAAGATGCCAAAATGTGCTAATTTAGTGAGGAATGAAGGAAACATCCATGAACCTCTTGTTCTTTCCTTCATTTAAGATTTCTATTTTCCCTGTAATTTATTATTAAATTAAAATTTCATAAATTTTCAGTGACCCCAAAACCTCTCATAGAGAAAATATCAATTCATGTGGTGTAAGAAACAGTTTCTTCTTGTATTCCTAACCCCACCTACTAATCTTGACTGGAAATGTCCCCAGGAAGTATTCTCAAATCTATTACTTTTGCTGGGTAGATGACATCGTTCCATTTTAGTTAGAGCATATGAGAGAATAAGGTGGGATATGAAAATAATAGTTAAAACTTCTACCTTATGATGTCATAAAAAGCAGTCATGCAATGCCAAACTATATGAATTATTGTAGGCATCTTGTCCTAGGAATGTGGTATGAAGAGGTTGGAGATTTGAAAGCCCCAAAGTGCACAGAGCTCAGATCCCAGGTGTTTGTGTAGCATTGTCTGTCCTACACCACAGCTGTGCTGAGATCTTCTTTTAAACAACCAGCTCCCTATTAAGAAAAATTTACTTTTTTTATTAGTACACATGTTCCCAACTCAGTCAAACTTGTTGCATACTTCCTGTGAAGATGACCAAGTATATAATAAGGTGGACTGATTTTAAAAAGAAGGAAAAAAATCTCTCAGGAAGGAAACATTATTTGTAAAAAGGACACATGAACATTATAATTAAAAGTGAACATCAAGCTATTTCCATAATCATTATAAATTATTAATTCACTCTGTATCTGATCAACTCTTAAGCACACTAAATTGAAAAGAAGTGACGGTTCAGGATTGTAGCTGAGCAAGTGCCAAGTTTGATCTAGGAGTCCTTTTAAAAAGAACTGGGGCAAACTGGACAAAATACAGTTTTAACATAATTTATTTTGACCATCTAACTAAATACATTTTCATAATGGGAATATAGTGGTTCAGGAGGTAAAGAATCTGCCTGCAATGTTCCATCCCTGGATCAGGAAGATCCCCTGGAGAAGGGAATAGCAACCAGCATTTTTGCTGGGAGAGTTCCATGGACAGAGGAGCCTGGCAGGCTATAGCCCAGAGGGTTGCAAAAGAGTCAGATATAACTGAGCAACTAACATAGCATAATGGGGGATATGATTATGGCATTATGGCTCACTGTTTTTTGATCAAAGACAACAGTCATTCTAAAATCAGAAGCCACCAAAGACAGACTTCAGGAGGGCTCCAGCCCAAGGGGTCGGGGTGTGGAGGGATGGGCACCTGCGTCAGGACCTGAGCAGAGCAGCCAGCTCATCACAGAACCTCTGGCACCACCTTGAGCATGTGTCAGCCTGCCCCACATTGGGGAGACATCCGTGTGTCCATAATGTGATGATCAATCGGGCCGCAGGCCATAGGAAATGGGTTACTCAACCTAAAGAAAGAGAAAGCTTTGAAGCTTTCTACAAGTATAACATAATAATTTAAAAATGTCAGATTTTGTAAAAACTCCATTCAAAAAAATACAAAAAGAGCCATTTAATTAAATACCCTTTTTGTCTGTCATAAAGCTCTTTGAGTCTGTGCTGATGTGTGTGTAAAAAAAAGGGGGCACAATGAGATATGTGTGGTTTTATGTCTCTTTGTAGAACATGCACACACACACGTGTATATATAATAAAATGCTAATCAAAAATTCTATAGAAGAATATATTTCAAATAAATTTATTAATATACTTTAAGTTTACATTGTAAATTGTAGGCTAAATTAAAATTTATGATAATACCATGTTGAGTTTATTTTTGATACTACTGAAAAACAAAACCCCCAGGTCTAAATTGCTAATTAACATGACTAGCAGAGAAGCCACCTATTACAAAAATATTACTTTGATTTTCCTCAGTTAGCAAATAACATTTGACATATACATATTTTTTCACTGTGCAATGACTAGACACTGAAATTTGTTATAACTTGGACTACTTGAATGAGAAAACCTAGAAAGAAAAAAAAATATTCAGATTAATCTCTACTTCTCATGTAATTTAGGTTTAGATGCATGAGATTTCCTCCTTAAATCCTAGTTTATACTAGAGCCATTTTAACAGCAGAATGCTTAATTATGTGTTAATCTCTCCAGTGCCTTGGTATATGTGTGTATGTGTGTGTACATACACATTATACATATATATACATATATGTATACATATGTATGTATATAAATACATGCTAAAGTTCTTGATGGTGTACATTGTATAAGCTCAAAGGGAACATTCCATTATACATACTTGGGTCAGAGAAAGGAGCTCAAATATCATTTGACATCTTTGCTAGCTACTATAGCAATGTATATTGCCTGATAAAGAATCACAGTTCATTTAAGCTGAAGTATATTAAAGCAGGGACATTTGTAATTTGTTATATTGCAACAAGTACTTATTTCAAAGCTACTTTAATAGATAATGTAAGTGTAATGTGTACCCCAACATTTACCATCTGACACTATTTTTAAGGGAAAATAATAAGCGTGTCATTTCTTGCCCATTTTTCAGGCATGCACCAACTTAGAGTTTTAAAGCCTTTGATCACAAAACACATTCAGCAAGAAGAAACAAGTCCTTGAAAATAAATGCCAACCTCATATTCACTATGTCAGCAGAGAGACTTTCCTTTAGGAACATTAAAGTTAGAGGTTTCCCTCATTTTCAAAAACAAAAATTGTCATAAACTTTGTTTACATGGAATGCTGGGTTTGAGAAATGCTTGATTTATTACTGTGAAAAAGTATTCAGCCTAACACAGATGTAGAATTACTGCTAGAAATCAGCAATGTGGAGAAGCTTTAAAAGCACAAGGAAGATCTTGTGCATAACTCTTTAAGGTAAGTGTTAATGTTCTATAATATTAACACACGCTTAACACTGCTGTCCTGATGACTCTCCATAAGGAATTACTTTATTCATTCCTCTAAAACTCTTGTTTATGATTTATTCTTATTGCCTAATACTTTAAAATTATAATTCACTTCTTTGCACATTTGAAGTTGCTTTTAAAGATAAATAGAATACTATAAATGTTATATATTTTATACATATTAAAATGCAATGAAAATACCAGAAGTATGAAATGTAAATATATTTATTTCATTTTTAATTGTTTTGGTGGATGTTTGTAAAATGCAAATTAATATCTGTGACAACAGCTTGTCACTTTGTTCTTTAAGTTCCTTAATGTACTACTAATAAAACTGTACCTTTTTTAATGATGCATAAAGGAAAATAAAAACAGATACTTTTTACTACATCTGTGTTTTCACTTCCTGGGTTTGAGTTCACAGATGTTTAGAGCATGTCCTCAGAAGACTTGGCTGCCATGAACAGGGCCAGTGGTGAGCTGCTTACCTTGGGTGCATAACCCTAAGGACACAATTTCTGGCCCACCAGTATGAAATGGAGCAGAACCCTATGGTCCTTCCCTCCAAGTCTTTTGCCTGCCTTTCGTCTGTGGAAAAACTTTAGCCAAAAAATAAGTTTAATCAGAGAGTGAGAACATGCAGAAATGAAGGGAAACAGTCAAAGGAGATCAAATAATAATAACGTAGTCAGTAAGCACAGTCAAGGACCTTTATTTAGTTCCTTCTCAAGGGTTACAGCGGAGACGGCAGTGGCGCCCACTCCAGTGCTCCTGCCTGGAGAATCCCAGGGATGGGGGAGCCTGGTGGGCTGCAGTCCATGGGGTCGCTAAGAGTCGGACACGACTGAGAGACCTCACTTTCACTTTCCACTTTCATGCACTGGAGAAGGCAATGGCACCCCACTCCAGTGCTCTTGCCTGGAGAATCCCAGGGACGGGGGAGCCTGGTGGGCTGCCGTCTATGGGGTCGCACAGAGTCAGACACAACTGAAGCAACTTAGCAGCAGCAGCAGCAGCAGCAGCAAGGGTTATAGATCATATTCTGAGCCATATCCTATGAACTGTCTTATAGATACTGAAACCCCCACCAAGTGGAAGAAGTTAACTGCATGATGACCAGACTGACATAAGCTGCTACAATTTCAAGAAATGGCCTCAGGGAAATGGAAACCAACTGACCCTGGAACTGAAGATTAACTGTACCTAAAGCAATCAAGATGATGTTGGTCAGACCACTGATGGCCAATTTTAAGATAACTGTCAGAGCTGACTGCTGTCTCTGCATGTAGCCTTCTCCCACCATCTATGAAACCCCTGTGCCCGATTGTCAGGGGTGAGAGGGGAGGAGTTGGCCTTTGGACAGAAAACAGTCCCCGCCCATTGCCAGCATCCAAAATAAA